CTGTTGGCTGTAAGGACTAGGGGGCACCTCTTATTTATGGGCCCCTATCACAGGTGGCTAGGTGGTATGGGTGGAGCCACCAATCCTCAGGCCTCTGATGTGGGTAGGTGAAGACCCTGCTTAATGGGCAGAGCAGTGTCAAATGTCAAGAACCTGCCACTTCACAGCTGAAACAGTTGAAGTTAGAGTTCGGGTATATGCCCTGTTGTACTGTGGTAATGAGGGCCTACGCTGTTGAGATGGGCCCACACGAGTCTATGCAGGGGGAAAGGCACTCAGAGTCCATGGATCCCTTATGCCTATGTCTAGGCAAAGGAGCTGCGCCTACCCTGGGTTCCTGGCTTAGGGGAGCCGGCAGTTTATTTTTTCCCATTTGTTAATTTGCTCACTCTCCAAGGCAGGGAGAATGGCTCTGGGCGTGTGATGGATCCTACTTCTGGCCCAGGGGACTTGGCAATTGCTGAAGCCAGTCAGGGACCCAGTGCAGAGCAGGGAGCGGAGAGGTAAATGGGAGAGAGGTTTTTCCCTAAGGGGAATGTTTGTGATCCATGCAGTAAGCCTTACGCAGTTACTTATCTTTCACTGATGAGGGCTGCTCCTCACTGGTTCTGGGTGGCCATGTGGACTCTCTGGTGCTGGGTCTCTCCTGCTGCGGAAAACACGCCTCCTGAGCACTGCCACTTGCCTGCCTCACCGCTTATCCATGAGCTGCTCAGGCCTGAAGGGCTCAGGCTCTTACCAGGTCAGGTCTGGCAATTCCTCACTGCTTCCGAACCATCTCTCCCTCCCCTTGCCACTCAGTCCGGTTCCTCAACTCTACCTTTGATGTTCAGGGCTCCCAGATTGACGTATATAATCGAATCACTTGTTTTTTCGGTTCTTTGTTGTAAGAGGGTCCACTGGAGGAAGCATATGACTACTCTACCATCTTGGCCCCATCTCCCAACTTCACTGTAATTTAAGAACTTGAAATGAAATCAACAATATGCCATTTCCACTACCATGAAATTAACAATGATAAAAAATTAAATGAGACCATACAGTGTTGATATAAGGGTAAAGAAATAAACACTCATAAGCTGCTGATGGGAATATAAAATCATATAATTTTCCTGAAAAAGAATCTTGTAGCACATATCAAAAGCCTTAAAGATGGGCAGTTCCTTTGACTCTGCAGTTCATTTCTGTGTATTTAACCTAAGCAAATAAGGATTATTGACAAAAATTTAATACTGTTTATAATAGAAGAAATTTAGAAACATATTTTCACAGGTCTGTTTGCCAAGAGGGAGGGGCGTCTTTTCTAATTCATACAGAGGCATCATCTGCTCCCCTTTCCATGCTGTGGGTCTGCTCCCACCCTAGGGGAATTGCCTTTTTCTGCTTAGAGGTGCCATATGGCTGAGCAGCTGCCCTGGCACAATAAAAGGTCAAGAAAGTAAAGGCATTGAGGATCCTTCTAGGAGTTTAATACTTACACATTGAGAAGTTAAACAGATTTTTCTTCTAAGTGCTAGTAAGCATATATAAACTTTTTCTGTGATTAATGGGTTCATTTGTTTAATAAATATTGAGTGGCTATTACGTGAGCTACAGCGAGCTACAGCTGCTGAACCAAAAAGGTCCGGAGTTCAAATCCACCAGCTGCTCCTTGGGAGCCCTGTGGGGAAGTTCTGCTCTGTCCTGTAGGGTCACTATGAGTCAGATTGACTCGATGGCAAAGGGTTTGGTATTTTTTTTTTTTTTTTTTTTTGCTTTATTAGACACCAAAACACTGTGTTAAGTATTGTGGTTATAATGATGAATAAATCAGACATGGTCCTTACTATCATGGAGAGACATGGACACAAGCAATTATGAGTCTGATGCATAGTTCAAAAAGGTGATAAATAAGTGATTATCAGGGGCTTGCAAGAAGAATAAACTGAGGCAAGCTTGGGCCCTGAGGCAAGAGAAATTTATAGAATTATAGGAATGCTAGTATGGATGGAGTGTGATAGCAAAACAATAGTAATATTTACTTAGTGCTTACTGTGTTCCAGGCATTGTTTTATATAGTCTCTCCTTTAGAGTAGACTCTCTAATCTTCCAACAGACTATGCAGTAGATAACTATTATTATCCCTAGTTACTACTACTACTGCTACTACTAAGAAAAGTTATATAACTTGCCCAACTCACATAGTGTGTAAAGCCAGGATTCCATTGCAGACAGTGTGATTTCAGAACTCAGTCTTAACTAGAGTGCTACTCTTCTGCCCAATGAGTGTGAAGACCAAGGAGAAGGGGTGCCAGGCTGAGGCTGGAAGGTTAGGCAGGGGTCATGCCACAGGGGCCCTGTAAGCCCTGTGAAAGATTTTGGATGTTATCCTGAGGGCAACAGGAAGCAGTTGGAAGAGGCTAAGTGTGACTGTGTGGATATTTCCTTAGTGGACAGGGCTTACCCTCCCTTCCATACTTGTAATTAAAAACAAAACAAAACAAAAGCTCTTGCTGTTGTAAGGAGAACAGATTGGAGAAGAGCTAACATGAATAGATACTCCAGGGAGGAGGCTTCTACTTACTGTATTCCCTTAGTGTGCACACTGCTCCTCTTCTTTGGTCATTATGAAGAGGAACCTGAGTATTGATGTCTATTGCAAATGATAAAAATCCCAGCTCAAAGTGGCTTCAGGAAGAAGAAAATGTATTGCCTCATCTGACTAGAAAGTTCAAGGGTAGTATTAGCATTGGGAATGACTAGATTCAGTGATGAAATTGATGACACTGGAACTCAATTTCTCTTTTTCTCTTGAGTTAGATTTGCTCTTTTTGTGCTGACTTCATTCTTAGCCATACACTGTCTCAGGTATATGTGGAGCTGGAAAAAGATCTTTTTATGAAGCTCCTTTAAGAGTCCTGAGATTACTGTGAGTAGATAAGGCTTAAATCACATGCTTGGCACTGAACCAGATCTCCATGGCCAGTAGAATGAGATGATCTTATTGGTTTATGCTTTGATCAAGTGCTTTATTCTGGAGTTTGTGTTGATGCAAGACCACATGGACTGATAGGGAAGTAGGGCCCCCACATGCCAAAAGGAGATTTGGAAATTGGGAGACAACCAACAGATATTTTCCACACATACTCATTTTTATTATATTTTAGAATACAAACTTTATTCAGTAATGTTGATTACTTATTTGCTTTTTATATTTTATTGTGTATAATTTTAAAATTTTGCCTACTTAAACATATTCATTCTGTCTTTTAATTATATTCTTAGTTTCTTCAACAGACCTCTCTTTTAATTCTTTATTTAGTAACTAGAATACTGTTCTTTATAAGTTTTTTCATGTACAGTATTGCATTTGTACACATTATGCTTATTCACTTGAAAATTTTCTGTGGGAGAAAATTCTGTGCTGACAAATTCAGTTATTCCTTCATTAGTGAGTGGTACATAATATCTGTATGTTGCTTTCTAAAGAATGTTTCTCCATTTACCCTTGAATTTAATTGTTTTAATTACAGTAACTGTGAAGTAGGTATAATTACTCCTATTTTACAGTGACAAACCCCAGACTTGAAATGAGTTTTTCTGCTAAGTTCAGTAATCTTTCAACTATGTTACAGTTGCTTTCCTTACATTCATTCATTTGCCAATGCAATATAAATTTATGGCATGCCAGATCAATACTAAATGTAGAAAAGATATGTGTAAGCAATATATAAAGTAGAGAAAGGGGACATAAAGACAGTGACAGAGAAAATTTTAAAACATTGTAAGTACATATTTTGTACAAATACGCCAGTAAGTTTTTAAAATTTGGAAAAAGATGTCATTGTATAAAATGTTAAAAATTTGTAAGATGACTTAGTGTAGTTGAAAAACCTGACCAAGTTAGTTATAACCATGAAGAAAGTAACCCAACATGTATCTAGAGAGGTGCCAGGCCCAGAGGATTTAATGGACCAAATCTACCAAACTTTCAAGAAGCAGTTAATTTTGTGCCATGAAAATATTTCAGAGCATAGAAGACAATGGGAAGTTCCCCAGCTAATTTATGAGATTAGCATCCCTTTAAAGACACTGAAGATAAAATGCTACCATCCCCACAGTTGTTCAGCGTATACATGTATCAGCACATACGTGCATGGAAAGGCTACAGGAAGGCTCTGCACCTGGGGAGGGAATTGTGAGTTGGGAAGGAAGTTGGAGAATGTTCATTGTTTTCTTTGTGATATCTGTATTTACAATGAGAAATATTTAGGCATTATTTTTAAATCATCGGTGTTCATTTTTGTAGAATTTTCATGTGCTTGGCTGTTTTATAAAAATGGGATTTTTACTTCATAGCATTTTCCTAGATAATTTAAACTATTTGATTTATGGACTTTAGTTCTCACAATTTGAGGGTAAGAAACTGCTTAATTAACAAGTTATCCATTATTTCCTAATTTTAAGAGTATACAAATTCAACTCTTAAGGATTATATAAAATGAATCTTACATAAAAACACAGAGATCGCAACTTATTTTCATTTGATACATTTACCAGCTTATCAATATTGACCTAAATTGATCATCTTTATAAATAGCAGAAACTCTGGACTCAAATGGAATATGTGATTCAATTTCTAGAAACAGTTTTTGAAATATATTATTTTTAATAAAAAATATTTTCTTCAATCTTTGATATAATCTTTATCTTGCTTCAATTCCTTTTATAGATATTTGATTATATGGTAGAACCAGGAATTCTCTTTGTTAAAATCAGGAGGTGGAGGTATAATCCGTATCTTTACACAATTATCATGAAAAAGGGAAGTAATAAATATGGAAGTCTTTTCAAAAAAAACAACAGATTATAGTTATCATGATTATTTGAGTGCTTCTAATTCATCAAGAAACAATCCATTAAGAAAAATTACAACTAAATAAGAAACTAAGAAGACAAATGTGACTGTTTTGCTAGTCTGTTTCAAGGAGCTGTGTTAAAGGTACTCTATTTACTTGCAGGTTGGTCGTCTGCAAGACCTGGTAAGGCAGAGTGAACAAGGTCTTGGCTCTGCAGGAGAACTCATTGCTAGTCTTCAGGACTCCCAGGAAAGGCTTCAGAATGAGCTTGACTTGACTAAAGGCAGGCTAAAGGAGACCAAAGATGCCTTATTAAATGTTGAGGTAATCGTATAATCCTACTCTAATCTAAACATCATTAAAGTAAAAATATAATTTCACTGCTCTGCCTAAAGCTTATTGTAAACATCACATTGTATATAATAGTATGCATGATTCTTTTACTGCTAAAAGTTGGAATGCTCATGTATAGCAACTAAGTGATTCTCTGTGATCTACAAATTTTAGAAAGGCCCTGCCTTTTCCTTTCCATTCTCATGAAGTAGAACAAAATTTAGACTGCCTTAGCCAGTAGAAAAATAAATCCATAAAACGAAGAGATAGGAGCCAGAGAGTTTGCAGGGAGAGAAATAGAAGTTGGAAAATCTGATTCTTACCTTTACCTTCAGAGAGTGATTTAGAGTGTGGGCTCTGAAGTCAGGTTGCTTGTGTGTGAATTCTGAATCCATCTCTTAGCGGGTAATTTTGGGCAAGTCGCTTAGCCTTTCTAAGCCTCTATCTCCTGACCTGCAAAATGTGGGGTGCGGGGGTGGATAATACTACTTCATATGGTTATAATAATTGAATGTGATAAACCACTTACAGCAGTGCTTAGCAAAATAGTAAGCACTTAGTAAATGTTGCCCTTTGTTAATAATATTGGAAATTTTATTTTTTTAGCTTAGAATTGGTGGCATTTCAAAAGCTTGCAAATCAGGGTACTTTAGTGAATATACCTTGTATACAGTGCATCTATAATTCTATTTACATTTTATCCAAGGTATAATTATATTCTGTGTACAGTGAATGCCAATTATATTCTGTTTTTGAATTCTGTGACAAAATAAGCAGATTATTTTATCCTACTTAATTCTTCTTTTCCTTTGGTTTACTGTGTCATATGACTGTTAACAGATAACAAGGAATAGGTTGAATTTAGAGCTTGTATAATACAACTTGATATACTCAATTTATGTGATGCCAAACATATTGAATACAACCTCAGTGTAGCATTCTGGGATACAAAGCAGAACTGTATAGCAAAACTGTATGAAGAAGTGTTTTTTTCCATTGTAAAAAATAACAGGAAGATGATGGATATCTGTTTTATGATAATAAAAATGTATTTAAAAATTAACAGCAGTTGAAATATTTCTAATGAAAGTTGAATATAGGCTGTGTTTATATGATACATGATGTTCTGTGTCACTCACCTTGCTGCCTTCAGGGCATTTTACACTTTGCCTTTTTACCCCTTGTACTGGCACTGAGAATTAGGATTATGGATTCAGTTTTATTTCTTTAAGGCCCTTTCTTATATTTACATTGTTCTTCTATCAACAGTAGAAAATAATAAAAACGTTAAGCACAATCCTCCCATCCATTTATTTTCTGTTTGGCTAAACAATTTTAATTGAGAAAATATGGCTGCATCATGGTTTATTACAACTCGGTGTAAGCTTCTTTAAGCGCAAATGTTTTTCTTTTACTCTTTTCCCCCACCCCTACTGGGGTGTCTGGTAAGTGCTTTCAATTCAGTAAGATAAATACTTTTCTAAATAGTAAACTATTTAGTTTTCTTTTATGCTACATTTAATGCTACCTTTGGTGGATAGAAACAAAGTAACAATGAAAAGAACAGTTGGCTAAGATGGCTGAATTCAGTTTTCAGTACTACTGCTTAATAGCCAGGTGGGCAGTTTTAACCTTGGCTTGCTTCTCTCCCATCAGTCTGGATATACCCCTCAACAAATGCTTCACCACAGGCAGTTAGTGAGTGAGTGATCCAGAAAGGGGGGTTGTGATAACGGGAGGATGGAAGATGAACCATCACCTGTTCCTTTTCTGCCTTGTACTCTAAGAGTAGCTACACTGTTGGCACAGACCCGTGGCTGTCAGTGTTGTCCAAACAGGTCACCTCCAGCCCCAGGCACCAGAGAGCCACTTGATTTATGCTAATCTACAGGGATTTCATATATATTATATTATCATAACACTACACACAGAGCGCTGATTTGAAGTTGTATGATAAAATATTTAGTTATTAGGCTTAATTCCTGGTAATTATTTTAATCATGTCACTGGGGTACAGCTATAATCCTGAGCCTTATTGGCAGTAGAAAAATCTCAGCATAGTAAAACAGCAACACATTTTTTTAATAAATAACATACTTTTTAATATGAATTTGAATAACATATGTCTGTGCAGTGTGTGTATATACCAAACAAAAACCCATTGCCGTCGAGTTGATTTTGACTCATAGTGACCCTAAGTAGCACAGTGCAGAATTGCCCTATAGGGTTTCCAAGGAGTGGCTGGTGGATTCGAACTGCTGACCTGTGGTTAGCAGTCAAATGCCTAACCACTGCACCGTCAGGGCTCTTGTGTGTGTGTATATATATATATGAAGATAATTTAATTATCAGTCTATTATTAGATAACTCATGATATGGAAGGTTTAGTTAAGATTATTAATTATGCTAATTTTAATCTATTTAAAATAATTTGTAAAATTATAAACCTTAATAAAATAGAGTTTGGACAAAGACATTTAAAATATAAAAAAGGGTCCATATATTTTATTGTCAGAAAATCTTGAGTAATTGTTATCCATAGCACTATCAGTTATTGTGCTGTAAGAATTTAAAAGTTATAGTGCAGGCATTCCACTTATTTGAAATACCCAGCAGTGACTTTGTTTTTTATTTTGGTAAAATATATATAACATAAAATTTACCATTTTAACCATTTCCAAATGTACAATTCAGTGCCATTAACTACATTCACAATGTTGTGCAACTGTCACCACTATTTCCAAAACTTTTTCAGCCCCCAAAACAAAACCCTGTACCCATTAAGTAATAGCCTCCATTGGCCCTGCCCCCAGCCTCTAGTAACCTCTGCTATACTTCTGTCTCTATGAATTTGCCTATTCTAGTGACTTTGTTTTTTGAAGACTTGTCTTCACTGAAAAGTTTCTATTCTTCAGGGTGAGCTAGAACAAGAAAGGCAACAACATGAAGAAACACTTGCTGCCATGAAAGAAGAAGAGAAGCTCAGAGTAGACAAAATGGCCCATGACTTAGAAATAAAGTGGACTGAAAATCTTAGGTACACTTTTTCCTCTAATGTAGTCTTACCAATACAGGTGTGCAAAAAGCGTTTTTTTGTTATATGGATTATATCATCATATTGTTAAAGATATAGTAGCAATGTTTTTAAATGAATTTTTCTGGTGACTAGACGCAGAGAAATCAGTTCTTTTTTTCTGCTTGAATACAAACTTTCTTTCTGATTCCATTTCTTTGCATATAAATAGGCAGAGAGTACTAACCTGGAGTCAGAAGACTTGTTTGTTCTAGTCCCTATTCTGCCATTGATGAATTGATAAATCAGTGATTTTGGATAAGTTACCAACTTATCTTACAGTCCTTAACTGTATAATAATCTGTCCTTACTTGTCTTACTGAATTTTGGGGAGGATTATACACTTAGAAAACCTGCAAACAACTATACTACAGTTATTGAGAGGAATAGTTACCTTCACAAAGTAAATGCATTTATATATATATTTTAGACAAGAGTGTTCTAAACTTCGTGACGAGTTAAGACTTCAACATGAAGAGGATAAGAAGTCAGCAATGTCTCAACTTTTGCAATTAAAAGAGCGAGAGAAAAATGCAGCCAGGGATTCATGGCAGAAAAATGTAGAAGATCTCTTAAACCAGGTAATTAATAATTTGTACATTATGAAGGTTCATTTTCCTTGACATCCTCTAGCTAGGGAAATATTATAAAACACTATGTGTTAATCCACTGTATTTTGTTATTTTTTAATAGGGTAAGCCTAAAATGAAAAAAAGTCATGGGGACATTCATGAACTTCTGAAACATTATGCTAAGTAATTGTGTTAAATATGCAGTCCAGAATGCTGAGAATTTATAGTTATTTAGTTTAGTATTTGAACTGAACACACTATAGATTTTAAACTGGAAACAACTATTTTTTGAAGGCACAAAATCTTTTTTCAAGCTATTAGACACCATTTGTGCAACAGAAGGTAAAACTTCCTAAATGTAAATGATTGCCTTAAACCATTTACCCAAAGTGAGCACTTCACTTTTTTTTTTTTTTTTTTTTTTTACCAGCAGAATATATTGCCTGTTATGCTTCAAAATGCCTTAAGCCCCTTGGAAAGACTTAACATAAATGAAAGGTAGTGGTATTTCTAAGTCTACAGATGCCATGCTCCTTATTTCCACAGCATTTACAACTATAAAGAGTTTGCACATTTTCACTCATTTATACATCTTCTAAATTTATGAATTCTTAACATTCTCCTGCAAAGCCAGTAGTTAAATAGGACTGACTGCATGAGTCACCAGTCGGTAGGCAAGTGTGGTACTTGGACAAGAAGCAGCTCAGTAACTTAGTGCTAGAAATCCGCTATTATCTTTCTATTTGTGATCATGATGAATTTCAAATAAACAGGATAGGCGTTTTGTAAGATAAAGTATTACATAGATGCGTACATGCAATGACTTTCAAGAACACTTGGGACCTACCAATTTGTGTCTGGGTATTTCGCAATAATTTATAATGTTACACTGAATAGGGAAACCTTAGGAACTCAGACATAAAAATAAGAACAAGAAAACAACTCTCCCTAAAAGTTGGACCACCTTAGCACTACTTATTAGTTACCTTCTGTACACTTATTTTACATTCCTACATAGAGGCCCAGAAAGACAGATTTCACTGTGTAGAGTGGTACTTCTGTTACCCTGCTCCTATATCATGGTCTGTACCTGGGAAGATTTAATTCAGTTAAATATTAAGAATTCATCTTAAGAATTAAATCTTAAAGAATTAGTTCAATTCTGTGATGAAAATTAAAAACATCAATGAAAGTCTGCCTTGCTTTGTAACCAGCAAGTGTTGAACACAGGCACTTTTTGGCTAGATTTGGCACTGTAAAGAGGGCCCACTACTTCTCCCACCTATTTTCTGTTAAATTATTTTATTCATTATTTTATTTCATCTCCTTTGTATAAAATTGTCAGATTTCATCCATGCTTCTCTGATGCTTCTTTTGATGTCTGTTCTGCAAAATTCATCCCTGAAAGGACACGTTTTGCATTTGTGGCTGTGTATGTCATGAAGGGTTTTATAATGTATTAGCTCTAACTCTTGCCAGCTCTACAAAGAGAATTTTTTTAAACCAATTTTCAAGGTAGATTATTCATTAACCAGTTGCTGTCAAGTTGATTTTGATGCATGGTGACCCCATGTGTGTCAGAGTAGAACTGTGCTTCATAGGGTTTTTAATGGCTGGTTTCTTTCTGAAGTAGATTGCCAGACCTTTCTTCTGAGGTACCTCTAGGTATACTTGAACCTCCAACCTTTCAGTTAGCAGCTGAGCTGTTAAATATTTGTACCACCCAGGGACTTCATGTTAATCATAGGCATTAAGATAATCAGGAATCAGTTGGCTCCAAAGGTAAAACTACTGTGATGCCTCCATGCTATCAGGCCATTTCCAAGATTTCAGTAGCTTCCTTTCTCCCCACCTCTAAAAAAGTCATACTCATTATCACACATAAATTGGCAAATAGCTGTTGCGCTCCTGGATTCTGTGCCTATAGAAAGTTAAGAAAATGAGTGAACAAAAGAATTCCTCATTAAAGTGAAAGTGGGTATTATATCCTCAAAGTTTAACTCTTTCTAGACAGAAGAGATGACACAAATTGCAGAACTTTGCTATTGTTATTAGTTGCTGTCCAGTCTGCTCCAACTCATGGTGAATCCATGTATAACACAATGAAACACTGCCCAGTCGTAGTCCTGCACCATCTTCATGATCATTGGTATGTTTGAGTCCATTGTTGCAGCCACTGTGTCAGTCTGTCTCATTGAGGATTTCCCTTATCTTTGTTGGCCCTCCACTTTACCAAACATGATGCCCTCCTCTAATGATCAGTCCCTTCTAATGATGCATCCAAAGTAAGTGAGTTGAAGTCTTGGACAATATTCTGTGATTTGTAGGATTTTCATTGGCTAATTTTCGGAAGTAGATCATCAGGCTTTCCTTTCTAGTATGTCCTAGTTTGGCAACTCCACTAAAACCTGTCCACCATGAGTGATCCTGGTGGTATCTGAAATACTGGTAGCATAGCTTCCAGCATCATAGCAACACCCAAGCCACCACAGGACAACAAACTGACAGACAGATGGCAGAACTAGCGGTCTTTTTAAATGGAACTTCCTTCTGGACAAAGGACTTCCTTCTTCCTGGCCCTTTGGATCTTGTTCTCTTGACTCTTTTGGATGAGTTCTTGGAGTCTGTTCTCTGAAGCCTGCTCTACCATTTTCCACTTGCCTGCTCCTGCTGCTATTCCTCGCAATCTCCACCCTCAGCTCTAACCCCTACAGCCATTTTACTCTACTCACTGCTATTGTTCCTGATCATCACTTTTTAGCTCTAGCAGTATCAGTACCCATCAATACTTAGGGAAAACAGGTCTGACTTGGGCTTGGTGATATTAAAGGAGTCAGAGTGGTGAATAGAATTGGAACAGCTAGGGCTTAGACAGAATACATACTATGAAAAGTAACAGAGGATCTGTATTTTCACTATTTATGAGTGAATTGAATATGAGTATTTTTATGCCTTAGCTTACCTGTATTTCATCCTACATAAAGCAATGAAGAAATAAAATAATTTGTCTTTCATGTGAATTTAAACTCTCAGAGTTACATTTGATTTAAACCAATGCTTATGGCCTATTTATCTAAAAATGGGCATAGAAGAGCATAAGATTTTCACTTTCCTTTGATCAGATGTTTTTCACTTCATGAAATTTTTCAGAAATGATTATTTTCTTTTTGTACTCTGAACTGATTCAGAGTCAATTTCCTATCTTTTAGTTTTTCTTACAATATTTTATTATGTTCTGTTTTTCTGTCCATTGATTATACTTTAGTCCAAGGTTAATTATTCTTTCTGGGCTAATCAGTGTGTACCTTTAAATTCCTTTAAAGAAAAAGAACTACATTCTTATTCTTTAGCTGTATCTATAGAAAAGTGATTATATAGAGTCCACTGTGATCATATTTTCTATTTTTAATCCTAAATTCCATTATATATTCCTTTATTTTGCTTTTTTCAGGGCATATTTTATTTGGGGTCCAATATGATGATTTATTTATTCAACTTCATTCAGGGCATTGGACTAAGAAATTTAAGAGACAGGTCATTCAGACCTGTCCAGATTTAAATGTAAGTGTAAAATATACATTGGGTTTCGTAAACATAGGTTAAGGAAAAAAAAGAATGTAAAATGTCTCCCTAGGTTTTTTTTTTTATATTAATTACATATTGAAATGATAATACTTTGGATATATTGGGTTAAATATATTATTAAAAATAATTTTACCTTTTTAATGTGGCTATTAAGTGTGAATTACACACATGGCTCGTATTCCTGGCTCTCAATTCTATTGGACAACACTGGTCTAGACTATATAAATCACAAAACTATTGGGGAAATTTCACATTAAAGCTCAGTACTCATTCTTCTGGCTCCATCTCTTAGCTTTAAATACACAAAATTTCTTTTTTTTTTTCTTTTTTTTTTACAAATTGTATTTCTGCCTA